ACTGAATGGAATTTCCAATAATTATTGGTAACTTGTTGAATTACTATAATTGAGGTTCGAGTTTCCTCTATTGGCCTACAATTTGCGTTACAAGGGTTGTGAAATCCATTAATTACATTAGAGAACTAATAATAAATACAATAGTTATCTCAAAATGGTATTTATTAGAACCATCATGTAGTTTAATAGAATTTTTAATTAAAGTTCTTGTTAATTCAAAGAGTACATTTTATAGCGTTTACTATCTACTACTGAAGTCAGATAAACCCTTTCTAAGTAATAGTACACATAACACAAAATTACCTTGTCTCTTTTAACAATACACATTTATGTCTGGTGTTTTATAAAGTGTTTTAATAATTTATGTAAATACTGTAAAGTTCACTAAAATAATATACATACATATAATACAAATTATATATTTGATATGCAATTATTCAGTTATTTTCGGTATATTACAATATCTCTATAAAATAAATATTGAAATGAATAACACGAATTTTTTTATTATTGTTACTTGATAAGAATAGTTAAGTTAGTGCGAATTGTTTACATTTTATCATGCTTAAATCATTACATATCATTAGCCAACTATTTGTGGTCTGATTGGGTTATAAGAGTAGTCAGTTAGATCTATTCCTTTCTGCACATGTAAGCAATGAGTACAATACATACCAGTTTCCTTACTTACTGAACATTCTATATATTATTATGTGTAAATATTGTGCATGTATAGTATAATAGATTTTTCAGTCAAAGAATTAAGATGTTTGCCGTACAAACATCTTTTTCATAATTTTATCTACCAAAATTATATTTAAGTATTCAACAATTATTAAGTTGACTTAAATAGGTCAGACTGGTTGAGTTACTGAGTAAAGAAACTTTTTATTCAATTGATGATGAGACGTGACACCATGAAACAAGAAATTTAAGGTAGTCTCGTATCGACATATTAATACTAGTACAGAATTCCACGTTATTATTTAGATGAGTACTAGTGTACTATAAATATAAAAACGCGGAAAACCATTTTTTGGTGTTAAAATAATATAAACGTATACGTGTTGTGCCGTAAATATCGTTATAAAATGCAGTGGGTAGATAACACTAAACGAATATAAATATGCCGTTTCCCTAAATATCCATTTATACAATGGGCACAACTATTCAACGAAAAAGAGGAACACTAACTAAAGAGAACTTTGAGAATTTATTATTCATATTCCCATTTCGGCGTGCACGCATAGGTAAGATGGAGCACGGCGGTGAGCAACACTTTGTGACACATTGTTTCACCCTCTCGAGCAACGGCTCAGTTAAAGGTACCATCGGCATATTAAAGAATGTGCCCGATGAGCGGTGAGGACGGTGAGGCGGCGGGTGGAGTCATGATAACGAGAAAACGTTAAGGCTCTCGTTTAAAATATGAATGAGATTGGCGTCGGGGGAACTGCACTACAATTGCACCGTATCGTCGACAACGGAGCCAAATATTAAACTCGACTTGATAAATAATATAACGCGAAACTCTGTCTGTGCGCTACCAAAATTCGTGCCACATCGTTAACTACTTTTCACCCATTATAATATCCACAAATGCTGTTCCATTGCCTTTTCATATTTCCAACGTTTCCCTCTAACAATGCCATACACCAGCGGATAATAATAAATTTAATTACTTTGCAGCAAGTAGTAAGAATTTCAAGGAAATCCCATTCCTATTAATTACGATTTGTGTAATTATTTTGGCAGTGTAAAACTTAAAATCACAATGATTAATGAATCATTGAGATTACACAGAAATCAAGAACGTAGTTAGTGCGAAAGTGGCGAGTTCAAATTCCCTGTCATATCAACTTTTTATTTATTTTTTTTTTAAATGTACATCAATTCAAAATAACGGAGCGAGCGATTAAGTGTTCAAAATTCCCAATGACCTACGCCCCCGACACAAATTAGCGATAAAATTTCGCCGTAAAATCAAAATAATTACTGAACAAGTTTAATAAGAAATCATTTTGATAATTAATTATTCGAGAATATAATTATTGGTAAAGATCTCTAAAAAATAGTTCTCCGTAGAAAACTACCTCGAATCTGAAAAAACGATAACACATTTTAATGCATAATAAATTGTAATTTTTTTTTCCTCTTGGACCTCTTGAAATATAAACCACCAAGTTCTTAGAGATTTTTAAACGGACATTAATATTGTATTTCTTATTTTTAATCGTCAAATTTAAATTTTATCACACTGTGAGTAGTTCTTCATTATTGCCTCTGCCGTTTACTATCAGGCCACTGTCATTTGTTGTGCACGAGTTACATTATAACATTAATTTTATTTTTATTGTTGCCGTGGGGTGTTCATTGTTTGGAGTATGTGAACTGTGTGCCTTTTAGTCGGCAGTTCTATTCCGCGGTCGACTTGGCCGGCCAAACGTTAATTTCACGGTCCACATTAAATCCCTTTGCCAGGCGTCTCTACATGTTACCGATAATTCTATCGAAGACCCCAGAGGATTTTACCAAACACTTGTTCGACAATATTCGTATCCGCATTATTATACGAGTTTAAAAAGCAGTCTATCATGCACACACTCCTTCCCCTCCGCCGATCGTGCCAAGTTGACGTCCGTCCGTCGTGGTTCCTGTACCCTAGTCCTCCGCCCTCGCGCATTATGTCAACACTTTAGGGTGTTTTACTGCGGTTATAAAAGAGTATCCCCCGGTGGACCATTATCAAACAATACAGGTCCCTTGTGTTGACTTAAAAATAAATCTAATTTCCCTCCGCATTATGTCCGCACGCTGTGTATAATATGCATGTATATGTGTAGGGTCTGCTGTATCATGCACAATAAAAAGGCTCGTCGAATTGAACACACAAAAAAAAATAAATTATGTACGTATTATAATATAAAAACAGCGTTAATGATACGGAATCAAATGTTTGATTTAACTCGATGATAACATGAACTTTGAAATCGTTTTAATTCTGTGCAGCCATCTGCTACTGCCTACTAAAGTCATTATCTTTTTTCTAGTTACAGTTCTTATAAGTCGGCAATGTAAATAAATACGATTCGAATGTTACACACGACAACCGTCAATAGGGTCAATAAATAACAAAAGTGGTTTTTTACTTAAAGACTTATGGTATACAGTGTAGTCACTTACAACGATTTTCATAATAAATCCTGAGAAATGTTCATAATGATTTAATAATAAATTCTATTTAGTATATTAAATAATAAACGGTAAAAAATGTGGCTAGGCTGAATATTTGTATAATGTGCAATCTGAAAGTTATTTTAAATACATAATATCTACGAAAGAAAATAGATTTTCTGTTACTCGGATAAAAAGGACCGAATAACATTTTTTCATAAATATTGTNTAATGATTTAATAATAAATTCTATTTAGTATATTAAATAATAAACGGTAAAAAATGTGGCTAGGCTGAATATTTGTATGATGTGCAATCTGAAAGTTATTTTAAATGCATAATATCTACGAAAGAAAATAGATTTTCTGTTACTCGGATAAAAAGGACCGAATAACATTTTTTCATAAATATTGTCAATATTATCAAAGAATGTACTAATAATCTAAATTTTTTAAAAAAATAATTGATGTGTCTAAGATTTTTAGTGCAGACTTCTACGACATAAACTTAAAAGAATCAACGACTTACATAATATGATAAAAAAGCAAAAAATTTCGTTAAGGCACTAAATACAGAAAAATATCTTAAAAGAGATTTTTGGACCTCATAATTGTTATGTGTTTATGTAGATATTTGTAACAAATAATTTTTATCTTATTTTATTTTGATAAAATTTATAATATTTAAATTGCTAAAACATTTTGTATTTTAGTTTATTGCGTATCATTAATTTGATAGATTGGTATTAATTGGTTATATTGAAGTGCAGCACACTTAACATATTTATGAAATATTTTTTGTCTGTTGTCACTTGAGTTTTTAATGATACAATAATTTCATAATCTCAAAAGAAGTACCGTGAATATTTTTATCTGATTTACAAAGGTTTATATTTTAATTTTATGAACTTTCTATTATCTGTCTTAATAAAAATGTATTGGACGCAGAAAGACAACAAAACTGACATATATTATATATATATATATAATTTAACATTTGTAAAGGTTAAAAAATGTGTACTCGAGAAACAATGATGTTTAATTAACATTGATTTACTCTTTTTTTTTTAATGAACTTCTTAAAGACTATCTAATTTAGAGTGGAATTTATAGAAAAACTACTTGAAGAGTAAAATTATCGAACTGCTTAATAATACATTTGTGCCAATAAAACGATTAAAACTATCACTAATTAATACTATGTACATTTAATCGAGAGTAAAGTTTAGTTAATTTTCTCGTTGTACTACGCGGATAAAAAAACACCGCATTAAATTTTAAATTACTATCAAAGTGATACCGATTATATTTATATACGAGTTGTAAAATCTCAATTGCTTTCAGTGATTTATTGACCGTCGGGGAACACAGAGGTGGTGGTTTGTGGAGGTAAATATAAACCGGCTAATGATTATTATATGAGCAGGTTTAAGTAAACGTGCGAAATTAAGGTCGGCTCAATTATCTTTATCTGCCGAACAAGAACAAGGTGAGTGGCCAAGAGATGGCCGCAGGGTGAGTGGTAGACACTGTGTTGGCGTGGTTAAATGATAGGTTTACTGGTGTGTGTGTGTACGCGGGGAAACTCTAGTGACCAAGACTGGCTAGAAGGAGTGTGAGAGGGACGAGGCGATTGTTGATCAACGCCCGGCCACGGTAATAGCGTTACGCCGAACGTCAACGGACGCGGTGAAAAAGAGCGAGAGAGATGAAAAAAACTCCCTCCCGTCGACCACGCCCCCAAAGTGGTCGCCGGCCAATCGTTCGATACCCGCCCAGTGGCCGGTTCCTCGGATGCTGTGCTGTACCAGTTTAGCACACTGTTACCACACCATGTCTTTTACTCACGTGTTACTGATCGGTATCGCCGTTCCATCGTCGTCGTCGTCGTCGCTTAGCCGAAATATCTTTTTGCACAAAAGCGCGTTTAAACAAACCATTTAACATGAACTAAATGATTTTAATATTTTTTGTAGCATTCATGTGTACGGTCGTCAACCGGATTGTGTACTAGTGCGTGTTACGCGCAATGATGACTATGATGATGATGCAGAGACTTCTTCAGAACAATAATAACAGTATAGACAACGGTAATGCGAACAATAGCAACAACGACGGTGCGGTTGTTGATGCTGGAGGATATACCGACGAACCTCGTCTGAACGGTATTCGCCACCATGCGGCAAGTCCGTTCTCTAAGCCCACAACAGTCTGTTCTGCATCAGTGCAGTCTGTCGCCGGTGACAATGAGACGCAGTCTCGTCCTTTATCCACTCAACAGCCGTCGTCTCCGGCGCCCAGTGACGATTCGGCAATGGCTACGTGTACACCACCGACGGCCTCCGTAGAAGACAGGCTGAGTTCCGACGAGGATTACGTACTAAACGTCGACGAGGACCCTGTAGATCTGACTAACAACAGGCTGCATGAACCAACCAGCAATTGTATCTCTACGTTGGCTAGTGCAGCGTCGGCAGGAATGGCAGGGGGTGTGCTCGTCCAACAACACTTTGCAACCCATCAAGGACCCAATAAAGGTCTTGCATTTTCCGTGGAAAATATACTTGATCCAAACAAGTTTACTAGAAAACTGTCGGCGTCTGTATTGCCCAGATGGAGGCCTCGCGTGGACTTAACTGATATTTCAGTCTCCGGTAAGTAAACATGGCCAATGTCAATTAGTACAGATTGTTTTAAAAATGTAACACGTGAAAAAGCAAAATAAACGATATAACATTGAATAAAATTTAATGAGAAAATTTACAAATTAGATACTGACAAACGATACACTTAAGTTAATTAAAAAGAAAATCGTATTTAATAATTCTTTATTAAATTATCATTCTAATGTAAATCTAAAATTACATAGAATGGCGTGATGAAAAAATCAATTGTAATTGAGTAATTGTTACATGGAGTCATGACAAGGGTCCATTTTTCAAATAATTTGTGCTACGATAAAGAATGTAGAGTATCGGAGTAAAATATAAATTATTTGAAAAATACTGATAGAAATACAATTTAATGAAAAGGCAGCCTAAGTTATATCGTTAAGTAATTTATAATAAAAGAATAAACGGGCAATTTCCATCTGAAAACAAGATTATAATTTTAGTGAAATTATAACCATTATCAGTAATATTAAACTTAAACTTGAAAAAATCAAACTTTTTATATAATATTAGCTATTATTTGACAATAATAGTTAAGCTATCATCCTTTTTTTTTTTATTTTAAACTAAGTAACACTATTTTGAAAAATTACTTTAAATAGTCATTTAAAAAATATTTTAATCGCATTAAAAAAAAGTCGTCTTATGATGGTTTATCTCTATTGTAGAAATTTATATTAATCAATAATTCCTTGTGGGATTATTGACAAAATAACTATTTAAGGTTTAATGTATAACGGATCTATAGTTTTTAATAAATTTGAAGAACAATAAATCAACTAACTAAAAATTAAAAAATACAATAAAAGGTAGATTTTACCAATTATGAAATGTATAGTAAAATTTGAAAAATTTCGTAAGATGCAAAGTGGTAATGTTTAATTAATACATTTTTGGTGTAATGATATTAATATTTAAAATTACCATTACACAATAATGAACGCAAACTATCAACCAAATAATAGTAATTGCTTAATATATATATATAGTTTCATTTTAGTTCATATAAATTTAAGTTTATTAGTTTATACTAATACTCAAATAATTTCAGAATTTTCTGGACTATGGAAATATCAATAAAAAAATATCATTAGAATTAAATTTACAACAAAATACTAAAAAACGATTAAAAATAGAAAATATTTAAAATAAAATAAAAATCGGAATTAGTGTTCATTGTTACGTTTAAGATATACTTTAATTTTTTTTAATAAAACTTAATTTAAGCGATTTTACAATAACACTTCAAATCTTCGTGCCATAATAAAATTGCAACTTCAAATTAATTTAATTGATATTAAGATGCAAATTATTTTATAATTAAATAAATGTTTGTTAAAGACGTTATGGACGGGCAAATAATTGATTAAGAGCTTAAGATCTTGAACTTTCAAGTTAAATACATTTTAAAAGTCTAATATTAAATTTCATTAAAATATACAGTGTTTGCGAAAGTACGCTATTTCTTTATCTGTTTTAAATGAAGAAAAATTTATAAAGTTTTTAATCTATTCGCCAGGAAAATAATTGAAATCGTCGAACCGAAAATAATTTCATTCCACACTTTGGTCAAGTTAAATAATTTTCACGATTGCTTTCACCCACAGCAGTTTATTAAAAAAAGTTAATGTGAATCCGTTTCGTCGGTATAAAAATGTATGAAATATTTTTTTAACGCTGACTTCAAATATTTAGCTCTTGATTTTTTTTGAGTTTTATTGGCCGCCTTATAATTATTGAAAGTTAATCCGGCAATGTTTCAATAAAAATTATCCGAATCGGATTTATTTAAATCCGTAAATAATCAATGGATTCTGTAATTATTACTTTCAGATTTCAATTAATGCTAACAAGCGCCAGCTATCGCATCGTAATGCGTTTTTAATTTTTCCATTTAAATTCCCTTAAGCACTTGACTGTTTTGATAACAGTGGTTTAAAATCCTCGGCGATTTTATTGGTGGCTTTTAAACGTCATTTAACGTTATTCCCTCTATCCAATCGGGATAATACTTGGGGTTTAAGTTCCTTTGGTTTTCTACTACTGCGCCGTTATTATTAACGTACAGATTCGGTTCCGGATTTTGTCACCCTAAAAATCTTTAAAAATCTTTTTCGTTCAACTCTATTCCGCACAAACTACAGAACCGAAAACAATACAAATAAAATCTGTAAATACCCATTAAGTCTTATGTTATCTTTTTTCGGCTTGGAATAATATTATTTTTTACTATGGAAAATTGACCGCAGTGTTTATCGTGTTGTTTTAAAGATATGTAGTCATTGTTTGCTGACATGTAAACACTTTGTATTAGCCACTAATAATAACTATTGCCATTTCAGGCATTAGTAGTGCTTTCGAGTTATTCGTCTTGCTTACAAAAAGTAAAATAAATTATTCACATTGTCACACTGAACGCAATTACAGGATGTTTAGTTTTCTGAAAAACTGGTAAAAAAATCAAGAATTCAGGTACAATTAAAATTTCTATCGTTTGTCGCTCTACTATACACAGTAGCGCGACAAAATAACAGTGTTTGGATAACACAAGTAATCTGTCACTTGAATTATTTTTTGTACACTTTGTGTCAGTTGTCATTATGTTATACATTTGTCAGAAAAAGTTTATTATTCTGAACTTGATTACAAGTTGTTGTTATTTTTGGCTAAGAGCCTTTTGATAAAAATTATTTTTAAACGCGTTTGAAACACCGTCCGTCACAAAACCGTTCGGAATAACTTAATAAGAATGTTTCCTGCTTGTCATTCCAATCTGTCCGTCTCGTAAGTTCCAGTGACATTTTTACATCAACATCCGAGTTAATTACTCGTTGACCATATTTGTGTGTATCGTTTATACACACGTGACGTGAACGTGTCTTTGAGTGTTATTAACATTTACATTTGACACCGAAGATGAAAGACAACAAAATTATCCGTCTCATTTAATGGCTGTATGACATTGTATCCATTTCAAATGTACTCACGTCGATAGAAAACTCTAAAGTCGAATCATTAAGTATAAGTTGTCAACAGCTAAGCTCATTTCAAGGAAACTATTTTTTGATGTTCATAAACATACTGATTAAACAAAGATGTTTGCTTAAATTTCAGTGGTTTTAAACAAACTCTATTTTGTTGAATAACGTTTTCGTTTTTAAAACTATTAATTAAATTCATCGTGATATCTAATTGTTTTATAAAAGAATATTTTAAATAGTGTAATGAATTCTAAATTAAAGAGAGAACTTACGAACATCTTAATCATTTGTTTGACTACACGATTATTTGTTGATAAATTTGATCAAGAATTATCAAAACAGTTTCTAAATTACTTCAAATAAAATTAGATAAACGTAAATAATATTCTTATACAAAAAACAATTAGATTATTACAAGTACGCCTTAATTAAAACTCATAAATTTAAAGACTTTAATTTTAAATATTAGAGATAAAAAAAAAATGATGAAACATATGTAATGAGTAAAAAGTGTAAAATGGCATAAACTATGCACATTAAATAGTTTTAACGAAATGTAGGTAAATTTCAGAAGTTAAAAAGTAATAAATATTTGTTTAATTTTTTTTTATATAAACTGATTAGTTACATAGTATGAAATAGATAAGATATTGAGCATAAGGAAATATTAATCAAATAGGTGTGTTGTTCGAGTAATGTTTTACATTAAAATATTCTACGCGTATAACTTTTACTATTGTGCGCTAAAAACATGTTTTATTCGGATGACCATACATTTGAAAAATGATTATGTATATCCAGACAGAAAAAGTAATAAGTATGTTTAATACAGAAATTTCAATAAATAAATAAATTTATCACACGGACAATAGTTGAAAATTGGTAAAAAATATTATATTCGCAATACAACATGTTAACATAATATACTTATGACAAATTGTAATTCATAAGTATTTACTCGGTTGAAGCGGAAAATTACTTTAAATGGATTTTTAGTATCAAAAGCGTGTAATAATGATAATATTATAGAATACAAACTGCTAGGCATGAAATTAATTGTCACGTCCCATTATAGGAGAATCGCAACGAGTAAAAAGCAGAGTGGGCGGCGGCAAGAGGAAAAAGAGAGAACACTACTTTACAACAGGCGAGAGATAAGCTTTGCGCACTATCAAAGCGCAATTGAAAGTTAAGCTCCGTTGATCCCTGGACCGTGTTACGACGATTGTCCCATAAAAAGTTCTCCCCGTCCACAAATGCAATCCGCGAACAATGCCCATAAGCGTCTGTAACCGCTGACTCGCCAGTTATCATTAGTATTACTTGCGCATCGCTGTGTTGCTAAAATACATTTCCATTGTTTGTCGCAGTAGTAATAACCAGATAATGTTTGTCGGCCACCAAAAACGAAATGACATTTCGTATTGTATTAGACGCTGTAAATTTAGTGTTCGACCACTCAAGTCTTAAATTCTTTTCTACGAACTTCAACATCAAGTGCTGTTTTTTTTAACTTTAAATCGCCAGTATTAATAAATTCGTCCAACTAGAGAACAAATATTCTAACGATTACAGTGAAAATTTGAAAATGTCGTGGATAAAAAACGTTAAATGTTATTTGGGAATTTATTTATTTTTTGAAAAAAAAAAACTACTGCCCATAAACAATGTACGAAGGAAACGCAATTTATAGCTACCGAATTAAAAAACAATTTTGTTCTCTGTAGTTATTTTTTTATTCCGAAATCGGGTATTATCCGAGACGATTGAAATGCGTTTTATTTTTTGACATTCTGTCGAAATTCGACGTTTTACATCTTAAAAAGGGGAGAAAGGAAATTATGACTAGTTGACGGCACAATAGCCACTTTATGATCGACCGGAGCACCGCGTGTATCCGCTGGTTGTTATAGGACGCCCGACGATAAAAACAAAAGAGACTGTGTAAACAAACGATAACGTCTCCATGGTAACCGGAACCCTAAGCGGTTATAATTGTGTTTACATACACAAAATAATATTATTATTATTCTCTACTAGTCTCGTCGTCGCTGCTTTCTCGTCCACCCGCTTAATTTCGTTAGACGTAAAAATCACAATTAAGTCGAGTGAAAATTTAAATATTATTTTCCGGGTACTACTGCAACCGGTGAAGGGGTAGGTGGTTCGATAAATTTTCAAAGTAGTCGATTGTCGCGATTTTCTCCGGAGGTTAGCGTCTCAGAAAAAAAATGCTGTAAACACAGCAGCACCGCCCCCCATCTCGTCTAGAGATAGTGTAATAATGTTATGCCCTCGAGATGGACGAATCCTGATATCTCTCAGTGAATGCGATGTGGGGGCAGAGAAAGGGGAAAGTCTTGACACCACCGCGCGGGCGTTACCCTGACGACGGTCCGTCCAACCGTATCGCCTTCCAGTCATTATTATAATCGTTCGCTGCGAGTATAAACAGATAGTGTTAGTTATTAAGTTGCAAGGTGTTTGTGACGATAAAATTATTATCACGTTAGTTAATTAGTTTGTGAATTTATTAAATGTATAAATCGACGGAACCAAAAGCGATTACATCAATTATGCGAACTCTATGTTTTTTATACACGACAAAATCAATTTGATACATTTGATATAAATCGCGCAAAATAATTGAACATTATTTCGCATTAAATCGCTAGAATATCATTTTTTAAGTCAATAAAATCAACGTAATGGTAGCAATCCGATAAAAGAAATCATAAATTTTTTGACCGTTGTATGACAATTCGTTCTCAAATAATGTTCATTACACTTAAAATTAGAAAAGCAATAAAACAAATATTTGCAGAAATATCGCGAACAAATTTATTAAACCAAATATAACCGAATTCCAACTGGTCATGTTTACGTTTCTCTATTGACTTATTCAACGACCGAAAATCAAAAACTAATACAAACGAAATACCAATGTCGAATTTTGTCGAATGTGTACACGAGAAACTTTATACAAACTCTAAACTACACAGTTTAACTTTTAAACCGCACAGTTTAAAATGAGTTAGTTAGTAGTAAAGCCTACTCGACGAAATAAAATCGAGTTATTTTCAATTAAACAATAGAGATTGTGAAATTACTGTTTTATAATTCCAAAACCTAAGCTACTTTTTAATAATTAACCAACAAGTTATTATAGATTTGTAATATTTAATTATTAAGATTCGACATTTTTTGTAGAACCGATGATCAGTGAGCAACGTGCTATACGAAATACTGTTTTTAGATGCACAAGTTACGCGAAATAATAATTTTTTTATGTTTATTTCAACAGGTGAAGACTGTTCAAGAAATTACATGGATGATGATGATGACGACGACGAAGACATTAGTGTCAGTGGAGATGGCTGTGGCAGCGACATAAGTGACGACCGAGAAAAGTGTAGTGTTGATGGCAGTTCATCGACGGGCGGGCCAAAAAAATCAAAAACCGATCATTGCGGTGGAAACGGTTCCAAAAATGGCAGTAGTAGTAAGCCAAGACGCGCTCGGACGGCATTCACGTACGAACAGTTAGTAGCGTTGGAGAACAAGTTCAAGACCACACGTTACTTGTCGGTATGCGAGAGGCTTAACTTGGCGTTGTCGCTGTCGTTAACAGAGACCCAAGTGAAAATATGGTTCCAAAACAGACGGACAAAGTGGAAGAAACAGAATCCCGGGTTAGACGTGAACAGCCCGACAGTTCCACCTCCGGGAACCTCAGGCCCGTCGGGCGCCGGTGGTGGTCCGCCATTCTTCCACCCACTTGCTTACTCGGCCGCACACCACTACCAAACTCAAAGTTACTCGGCCGCTGCAGCAGCTGCTTACTTCCATCACCTGGGAGCTCATCATTCGGCTATAGGACATCATCCTCCGTCGTAATGTCAGTCGGTCGACAGTAGTTCGAAGGTGCTCACTTGGATCTCATTCAACATGTCTTTATTCACTATGGTAAAAAAAAAAATCGCAACTGTATACATTTTTATTCGTTCGGTACACACAAAATATGAAATTCTCGAGTTTAGATTAGTCGCTGTAAAACCGTAGCTTTCAAAAATGTCACTGGAGTGAACTGTCCGGCCAGAAAATTTTTATGTAGTCAATCGACTACAGCTGTTTAAAACGAGACGGGTATTATAATTAAGTCGAATGCCAGACGACACCCTAACTGCACAGCTATGAAGTTTGTCAACAATTACTGTATTACTATAATTGCCGACACTATGCTCACGGGTCATGGAAAACTTGTGAAAAGTTTGGTCTGCACCCAAAGACTATGTTTCTGTTTATTTCAAAACGAGTTGTATGAAAATTATCTTTTGCCACTTGCTGCTGCTGTAAAAGCAATTGTACAAGTTTATTACTAAATAGTCACATTAACTCGAATCAAATTAATAAGTTATCAAATGGATCGCGATAAAAAACACCTTAATCGTTGAAAGTGTAATGTTGCATCGGAAATTTAAAAAAAAAAACTTTAGAAATCTTTACTTGAATATCATAAACTATACTATGTTATGTAATTACAAAGCATATTTTATAAAATGTGCATTTAGATAAGAGTAGATAATTTTCATGTTAGAGGGTTTTAGACCGATTTTCGTGATTATTATTTTTTGTTTTTATTTATTAATATATATTGTAAATACTATTATAATATTATTTGTTTAAATGAATATATTATACACTACCATTTGTACAGTAAATGACATACAATCTTGTTCGTTTCATTTATACCAAATTATTGTGTTTTTACACTCTAATATAAAAATATTACACAACTGGTCTAGAAAAAATCGATGATAAACAATAATGTGCACATCTTTATTGCCATTAATATCGATCATTCTAGTTAAATGTGCTGTACCCATCTTAGTTCAAACCCTCGTATCAAAACCCCTATAATGTTCTGCAAATTACCAACACATGTGTGTTCATACATAAACATTAGTGGTTATCAATGTTATTGCTTATTTTTTTAATATCTTGCACAATGTAAGTCTATAGGGAACTAGTTGGGTGTGTAATTTGGAAAAATAACATTGTAACAAGGGGTTCTTGTAAAGGCTTGCAGACACGTTAATTATTTACCCGTAGTATAGACCTCATTATTGTTATCGGCCCGTTGGGACGGTATAAAAACTATACGAGATTTTTACAGCCGTTTGATTAAAGCGTTAAAAATAATACAAGAATTTTTAATTATAGAAATATTTGCTTTATAAAATATCACTTTATTAGAGTGTGTTTTAAATACAAATTTATACTAATTAGAATTACGTTTTATGTGCCGAAATAAGAAAAAGTGTTATTTCTAATAGACGTTTTATGAGTCCATTGCGTTAATTTTGTATAATATACAGAATTTAAGCTCTAATTACTAGTATCATAAATATTTTATTCTCGGATCACCATTAAAAATGATAAATTGTAACATTATTTTGGTAGTGATATGTATGAAAATGGTTCAATATTTACCATAAAAAACCATGTATAAGTGGTGTGCTGGTTGTAGAGAATACTTTCATTTTATTTGAAAAAATTTACATACAAGATTACTGGATTAACTATTTTATTAGAAACGTACATGATGTCCTTAACCAATAGGTACAATTCTATATGGTATATTACACACGGAAATATGAAAAGAGGATTCATCCATCGATGTTTTCATCATAAATATATGTTACAACTATTAAATATTTTTTGTAATTTAAAAAATAATTGAATGAAAAAAACCGCACTGATTATGAATATTTAAAACTAACTAATTTCGTGCCTATACATTTTTGGGAACCTTATTTTTATTTGACCAGAACAAGAAGTTATAAATATTATCTATGTCCTGTATTTTATTATAAAAATATTTTTTTATTCGCTTAATTGTTTTTGCTACGTTTCTATGCATTTTGATGTTAGCTCAATTTCGCCATATTGACCATATACGTACGGAAAAAAGAGGCTAAGTATTATTTACCTTAATTTTCGAGTGCAAATTGATAAAAAAACAGTTTCAGCAGTTAAGTAAATGACGTTTCAGTGAATAATTTATTTAATGATTTTATTGATCCGGGCCAGGCGAAGAGTTTTTAATGTGTTGAATATAATTCCACAAACGATTATTCAAAATTTTTCCTATATCATCTAGAAATATTTAAGTGCACGAGGAAAAAAGAGATTTTACTATGATAACCGATGTAATAATGTATAAATAAATAAGGATCATTGTTTAATTATTAAAGAAAATTATAAAATTTAGAAGATATTGATTTAATACAAAAAAAAAAAATTGTTTACCATATTCATAAATTATAACGGTTGCTTTTCTGGTAAATACATATATTTTTATATTTATTAAATTTTAAATTATCTTCATGGAAAAATAAATTGTTTGCTTTAAGTTAATCACGAGTTAAAAAAAATATTTTTTAGTGGTAGAAAATGAAATAACAAAGATTCAATAAAGTAACATAATGAGATATAAAATTAGTTATTAACTTTTGTTTAATTTTATATTAATTATACAAAAATGTTATTAATCAGAGTTAGAGCGCTTCATTTATTTGGAGAAGAGGTGTTTTACGCAAGCTTGTCAACGCATTAAAAAATCATAGAAATAAAAGCATTATAGTGGTGACAAGTATACATAGCATCTGACAATAATTAAAATCGTTATCGTATAAAATGCTTCAAAGCAAATCTGTAAATATTGTTAAATTTTCAGAAGGAATTATTGAAATATTTCAAAAGCAGCATGACTTATAATTCCTTAATTCATAACTATAATACATAAATAAATACTTATCATAGTAATTAAATTTAATATGAAATTGATATTTAAATAAAGTTGTTTTATGCAGAGTGATTATTAAATATTAGTCACTCGATTACTCTTTAAATAATAATTATATTGTTCAAATTATTTTTGGCAATTTTTGATTTTTTATATTTCTCTATTTATTAATGAATAATTTTTTTTATATTTATCCCTTTATCTGGTGTGTCAACTTAATTTTTTTGATTGTAACATACATATTTAACTAGTTAATAAAATGAAAAATGATCTTATTAAGAAAATGACTAATCAAAAACAATTTTTGAAATATTAATTCAAAAGTTATAATTATAAAATAGAAAAAGAGCGCGGCAGAATAATGCGTTATGATAAAAATAACAACCCACACTTCACCTGTACTCTGTAGTTTAAAATAGTTATAATTTATGAAATAATGGATAAAAAGTTGTCATCAAACAGTGATTTTTTTAATTAGACATTTTTTATTTTATAAGATAATTAAATATGTACGTTGCCATTGTAAAATAAATTTGACACTCTTATAAGGTATAATATAAAGAATAAATTAAAACAATTATTATAAAAAAGACCAAAAAGGATTTTTTAACATAATTATTTTTTTAAGTGGATAAGAGTAGCTATTAAAAGAATCACCTGTATTTTGTTACCTCAATTTATTATAAGCTAATGGTAGTTAGAGCATTTGTTTCGGAAAAGGCAGCCCCCATCTTTTTAATATACTAATTGATTGACATTAAAAGCTACAAAATTAACACTCATATAATTTTTATAATTTTTTTGAAGTGGAGTTAAATGGGATAATTGTTTCTCCCTCCTATAAGATTATAGCGTTTGATTTAAATTGTAGACAAATTAACTTGAAAAGAAATTTAAATAAAAAAAAATGGTGATTTTTACATCAAAATAATTAAGTTAATAATTCGATTAATAATGATTCTAGAAAATCTTTTCTTTAGAAATATAAAATTAAGTACTTTTTAAATGCCGTATATTTTCTCTAGTGTATCTTTTTATCTGGAAATAAACGAAACAAGCACCAATCAATTTTACATAAATTGTTCTTTAAAAAACTATGTATACATTACATTTTGATTGTATTTTATGTAACATTACAATTTTAGATTTCAATTATTATGTATCCAATAACTGGAGCCATCGCCGAGAAGGAAGAACCGTCCAATTAGTTTGACGGTGTCTCATATAATAATCGCATGGAATGCCCATAGCTGGTGGCGTGGAAATAATGCATCGATTGTCGTTTGTTATGGTCATCCAACAAAGATTTGGGAGACCGGAAGACGACCCTCGCCCTCATGTGCCACCTTTTTACCATCTATTGCTACTGTGGCGTAGATGCTGCGCGTCCCTAGGGTGGCAGTTAGTTATAATTGGCATGTAAGGGTTCATGTACACATACAATCGCACGATTTAAAGTTGATACTGCTATTAAAATTAATGGTGACTCTTATAATAATAATGCACGCACATTCAACATTGGCAAACCCTCATCAATGTACCGTGGAAGTAGACTAGTAGACGACCACCAACCAACTATGTGTTCCCTTACTATTGTAATGTACTGAAGTTTGAGCGCGTTCGTGTACGTCACGGTCCCTTGAGCCGCAAAATCATTTCTCTCGCCTCGCCGTCTCTGCACGTCAAAACTGAAGACTAAACACCCTTTTTGTCGTATGTCCGACGGCGACAACACATTGTCTGCGATTTGCAGTCAGTTTATTTGGTACACTCGGTTGACGCTGAAAACGTAATTATTATACGGTGTTGTCGTAGGAGGCGATTGGCCTTCAAAATTCGGTATTGTTGGTATACCTTCTGCACGAATACACAAAAAGAGAAGATACTTTGTGTAGTTTTACAGCTAATTGGCAACCCCCTGGCAATTTAAGGTGCTCCTTTGCACAAGTTATTTTCATTTAATGAGTTCATTAATTGGCGGCCAATCAGTTAGATTGAATTTTAACTTTTTCAGTCATCACTCGTTATATTTTAAACATTTTATTGAAATATTTCAAATATAAATAAACGACTAAACGTGAAAAAATTACTTTTCGTAAAAAAAATGTATTTTTTTAATATCATCCATAAATAGATAGCGTTGCTATCAAAGTAAAATTCAGGTATACTTCGGAGGGGCGGCGCACCATGGAATTTTGATAGTCTCATCTGACTATTTCGAGTGTGACAGTGATAATATCGCTATTTTTGAAATTAGCATCGCAAAGTTTAGTTAAATATATATTGAGTACATGACATTTTTTATGTGTTAATTTAATAAAAGTATGGCAATTTTTTTTTTCCTGAAACTCATCCAAAGGAGATAATTCTAAATTCAATTCTGATTGCTTGATGAACACGATAACTCTTAAACAACGCTTCACATCATAACTTCGAGAATATTTGAGCCAGTCATTATTTCATTATTAATTTGAAGATCATATGAATAAACTATTGAATTGCGGAATAATGCGTCTTCGAAATGATGGCTGCTTTCAGTGTAAGAAGACGTTATAATAAATAAATCATCGTTGGCAAATCATAGAAGTCCAATTGATATTGAACCCAACCTTAGATATCTATTTCAAGAACGGTCTTTATACTTTTGCGGAGGAAAGAATTAGTTCATCGTGTAAAGTAATCATAGATGGTAGATCGTTGTTCTATCGGTCTTAAATTTCGGAATCAAGAATCCACTATGGTTAATGGATACTTGAACATGAAAGTGGATAAGGTCAACAGCTGAGCGCTAGGTATGCTCGGCTGTAAAGTTGACCAAGTAAAGGGAGTGTCGGTAAGTGGTATTTGACGTCTCATGCGGATGAACTTATCGGCACGTCTACATTTATCTTGATTGCTTATATCTCGGACTAT